ATTGAATAGTGTGATTTGTTTACAAAAGAGGCATCCTATTTATAATTTAACTTGAGATGAATGTTTTTCTTTCTAATTAATGTGGACTAATAACATGTACATTGTGTATATATGTATATACATTAACAGTTATTATGATTTAAAAAAAGTTAGAAACATTGTAAACACATAATTTTTGTATTCTTTCTTCATATTATAATAAAATCTCAAATCTTTGCAAAATTACATTGTTACCATCTTACCAGACTTGATACCACGAAATGTAAGAAAAGTAAAAATCACAAAAACTTGCAATTTATTGCCGTCCTTGTAATCCCACTTCTTGATTCCTTAGAAACAAAGAGTAGGCTTTAAAATCCACCAATCCCAAGAAACCTGTCAAATACTACTTACTAAACATGAATTTTTACGTAAGGTATATGAATAAGTGAATTTAACATTGAGATTGAGAGTTTCAGTGGCAATACCACCCCAAAATATAGCGCCGAGGCGGCCACTGCCTCTAAGGGAAAACATCAGTCCAGTGCTTTGCCGTCTTATTAAACCTAACCTCAAGAGGCCTTGACCTCTCTGCTCTTTCCAATCCTGGGCTCCATACATCCTTATCTTTAAGGGTTTTTTGACCCCTTCCTTATCTCCATTTACGATCCCATAAAACAATCGAAGCAAAATTCCGAAAAGTACAAAAAGAAGTAAAAAGAAAAAGGCTTCAATTCTTTCCAGCATTATTAAACTTCTAACTAAATTACACTCAGAATCATTAATTTGAAACTAAGGACACAATCTTTTTATTTTGGAAAAATGCAAGAATGCAAAAAGAAACTATCCAAAAAATATTTTGATGTGCATGGGAACCTGGGAGGCCATATTTACAGGCTTCGATGTAGTTCTGTTAAGATTTAAATCAACTAACATTCTCCAGCTCAGCAGCAGCTCCACATGTTGTGCCATCTCACTAGCATTCTCGCCTAGAGGGAGTTCTTGCTGTTTATTTTGTTTTGTTTACTTCTTTAGTACCACCACTAATCTATTGTAAAGATATTCTAACAACCTCCTTTATTCCGGGAACAAATCACACCTAGATTATCTAGAACATTCATTTGTAACTTTATATACCAGCTAATGGCTGATGCAATGCAATTGAAGATTGTTGAATAATTCTCTTTTTATTTGCAATTCTTACTTGGTATCAGAGCCATCACAATGGTAAACGACAGCAACTCTCCTCAAAATACTAATGCTAATTCTGTTCCAGCTTCTGGCTCAAGTAGCAATGCTGGTCAAGGAAGCACTTATCCCTCACCGTTTGGACTGAATTAAACCCAAGATGTATCAGTCAAACTTGACAAAAATAATTTTCTCCTATGGCAGAATATGAATCTTCCCATAATCAGGGGACATGGTCTTGAAAAGTACATTTTGGGGATAAAGTTGTGTCCACCGGAGTTCATTGGTACTCAGATTGCTGGTGAAACAGAAACCAGCATTGAAATGGCAAAAAACCCAGAATATAACCAGTAGCTATCAACAGACCAGCTACTAATGGGTTGGCTCTACTCCTCCATGACTCCTAAGATAGCCATGAGAGTTATGGGAACTAGGAACTCAAATGAATTATGGACAGCAGTTAAGGAAAGCTATAGAGTTCAGAACAGATCCAGAATAACGTTTCTTACTGGTGAACTTCAAAAATCGAGAAAAGGAGACATGAGCATTGATAAATACCTCAACAAAGTTAAGCTACTGGCAGATAATCTAGAAATTGTTGGGAAGGCTGTTTCTTATTCTGATTTAGTGACTCAGATTCTGGCAGGTTTAGATAAAGATTACACCCTAATCGTTGTTCAGATCAACAGCAGGGACAACATTTCTTGGGGGGAACTGCAGCCAACATTAATGACATTTGAAAGCAGATTAGAGCATCTCAATACACTCAGAAATGAAATGGCAGGAATCAATATCGACCATCAAACCTCAGTGAATTTCTCCCAAAGATCTGGCCCCAACTACCATCAATTTTGACCTAACAGGCCACCTGCTAATGGAAGATTTTCTAGTTTTAGAGGTGGTAGAAGAGGAATAAACAGAGGAGGAACCTTCTTTGGCGGTAATAGAACCTTCTTTGGTGCTGATAGGCCTACCTGTCAAGTCTGTGGAAAGGTTGGCCATAAGGCTAACATTTGCAATTTTAGGTTCGATGAAAGGTATACCGGATCTCCACCAAATCAGAGACCAACCTATAACCATTCATATGCACCTTCAGTATATATTGGAACTCCCAGCACATTGAATGATCCAGCCTGGTTTGCTGATACTGGAGCTAGCAATCACATCACTTCAGATAAGCAAAACCTGGTTACAGCCAATGAATATACTGGTAAGGAAGAAGTCATGGTTGGAAATGGAAATAGACTTCAGATTTCACAGTTTGGTAAAAGCCATCTTCCAACCATGAATGACAAAACTCTTGTTTTAAACAAACTTCTCATTGTGCCCCAAATTAAGAAAAATCTCATTAGTGTTTCTCAGCTAACTTCTGATAACAAAGTTTATATGGAATTTCACTCAGACCATTGTTTTGTTAAGGATCAGCTAACGAGGGAAGTGATGCTGCAAGAGAAGCTTAAGGAAGGTCTTTATCAACTGGACTTGCCTCACCAAAACACCAAATGTCATTCTTAGTCTCCATATAACTCGAATTTCTACTGCTGTAGTGCTCTCTCTCTCAATCCTAGTCTAGAGTCTAGTCAGAAGTCTTTAAATTTTCAAGCTCATGTATGGCACAAGAGGCTTGGACACCCTTCCAGCCAAGTGGTGTCCCAAGTCCTCAAACTCTGTAACCAGAAGTTAAAAGAAAATGAAAACAATTTCTTCTGTGATGCTTGTCAATATGGTAAATCCCACTTACTGCATTTTCCCCTTTCAACCTCACATGCCAAATTGCCTCTTGAACTCATACACACTGACTTATGGGGACTAGCACCTATCCAATCCACATGCGGGTTCAAATATTATATAACCTTCCTTGATGATTTCAGTAGATTCATTTGGATCTATCCACTAAAACAAAAATCTGAAGCTCTAAGTGCTTTTATTCAATTCAAAAAGCTAGCCGAAAACAAACTTGGAAAGAAAATAAAAACCCTCCAATCTGATTTGGGGGGAGGGGGGGAGAGAATACAGAGTTTTCACCAAATTCCTAATGTAAGAGGGTGTTGAATTTAGACATCCTTGCCCTCATACCTCGGCTCAAAATGGTAGAATTGAAAGAAAGCATAGACACATTACAGAGACAGGCCTTACACTCCTAGCACAAGCCAAAATGCCATTAAAATACTAGTAGGAATCCTTCCAAGCTGCTACCTACCTGATAAACAGGTTGCCCTCTTCTGTGCTTCAAATGAAATCACCTTTTATGACACTCTTTGGCAAAGAACCAGATTATAAACTTCTGAAAATCTTTAGTTGCACCTACTACCCCTGCCTTCGACCTTATCAAAATCACAAATTCAGCTTCCATTCAACCAAGTGTTTGTTCATCGGTTACAGTGACTCTCATAAAGGGTACAAGTGCCTGACCTCAACAGGAAAAATCTATATCTCTAGACAAGTCATTTTTAATGAACTTGAATTTTCCTTTGAGTCAATGTCTTCAGATCACAGTCACCAAAATCTCGTGACACAAGAAACTATAGTGTCCTACTTTCAATTTCCACCCCAACCAAATCACATTGAAACTCTATCAAGTCCTGCTGATACTGATCTTCTAGAAGCAGACAGTGCAATGTATCACACACCTCATAGCCGAAGTAACAATCAGTGTAAAGATATGAATGATATTGAGAATAGAAATGCTAGCCTGACCAGAGGTATGAGTAATCAAGAATTTGATCAAAGTGTGGAAATAGAAACAGAATTACATCAGAATGATGAAGGAACTGAATTAGCAACCAGTCAACAAGCTAGACCTCAACAAAGAAATAGAAATGTGTTAGAGCATCCTATGATTACAAGGGCAAGAGCAGGTATTTTTAAACCTAAAGCATTCTTAGGAAAATCAGCTCAAACTCTTACTGAAACAACATAACCCAAAAATGTCAATGAAGCAATGAAAAGCAAGGAATGGAAGAAAGCCATGGAAGAAGAATTCAATGCACTGATGAAAACAAAAACCTAGAAACTTGTTCCTCCATCACCAAACTTTAATATAGTGGGTGACAAATGGGTTTTCAGAGTGAAAAGAAACCCAGATGGTTCGGTTCAGAAGCTGAAAGCACGACTGGTAGCAAAGGGTTTTCATCAAGAGCCTGGAATAGATTTTCTTGAGACTTTCAGCCCTGTGATTAAGGCTTCAACCTTAAGAATTATACTCTCAATGGAAGTATCAAAGGGCTGGAAAATCAGGCAAGTAGACATTAATAATGCCTTCCTAAACAGTGAGCTTGAGGAAGATGTCTACATGAATCAATCTGAGGGGTTTGAAGATCAATCAAAACCTGGCTACATCTACAAGCTAGAAAAGGCACTTTACGGGCTAAAACAGGCACCTAGAGCCTGGAATGATAAATTAAAGTCAACCTTGTTAAGCCGGAAGTTTAAACAATCAGTTGCAGACTCATCCTTATTCTACTTTAAAATTGAAAAGCAAATCATTTTTGCACTAATTTATGTTGATGGCATTGTGGTGACAGGGAATGACTTTGAGATGTTGCAAAAATTCATAAATAAGTTGAATAAAAGCGTTGTACTCAAAGATATGGGACAACTTCATCATTTTCTGGGAATAGAAGTGCATTGGCATGAATTGGGACTTCATCTTACCCAGACAAGATACATTGGCGAGCTACTCAGAAAATACGAACTGGAGAATGTAAAACCTTGCCCAACTCCTATCCTTGCAGGTAGAACCATATCTAAGACTGATGGGGAAGTATTAAAAAATTCATCTACTTATAGAAGTGCTGTAGGATGTCTGCAATATCTTACTCACACCAGACCTGATATCACTTTCGCTGTTAACAAATTAAGCCAGTTTTTACAATCTCCAACAATAGCTCACTGGCAAGCCTTGAAGAGAGTTTTCAGATATCTTAGAGGAACCGAAAATCAGGGACTCTGGATTCAAAAGGGTGATAGAATGGACATAAGTGGATACTCAGATGCTGATTGGGCATCTTGTCCGGATGATAGAAGATCTATAGCTGGGTATTGTGTTTACTTGGGTGAAAATCTTGTTGCTTGGTCGTCGAAGAAGCAACATGTGCTAGCTAGATCAAGTACGGAATCTGAATATAGATCACTTGCTTCAGTAGCCTCAGAGATAACCTGGATTCAATCACTCTTCAAAGAACTTGGATTGCCACTAGGACCAACTCCAATCCTTTGGTGTGATAACATGAGTGCCGGTGCACTGGCAGCCAATCCGGTATATCATGCAAGGACCAAACACATTGAATTAGATGTTCATTTTATTAGAGACAAAGTGCTGAGGAAGGAGTTAGAGGTGAAGTACGTGCCTTCCTCTGATCAGATTGCAGACCTGCTAACAAAGGGTCTTATTCACTCCAGATTCCACTTCTTAAAAGACAAGCTTGGAGTCA